GTATTGAATTAACATACCGATATTGATAACAGCCACTTTTCTTCCAATGGACTTCAAAAATTTGGACATTGCATTGCAATATGTCGTTTTTCCACTACCAGGTGGACCAATAACAAGTTGACCAAAGATTAAGCTCATGATGAATTTGATTAATGTTATATTACCATGGTTTTATCTGATTTATAGCAGCAACAATGGATTTCAAAGTATCCAAGTCATAATCTTTTAGTGCTATTGACAACAGTAATGGTTTCTCAATGTTAATTTGCTGTGCTATGTATCTAGCAGCTAGATCAGTGTCATTATTCTCATTGCCAAAGACTGTCCTGTAAATTTTTATTAAAATTAAGCAACTATAGGATGAGAGTCAAGCTTCCCTTAAATGAGAGAATAACACGCGTTTTCCAGGTACTTCAACAATATAGTTAATACGATGCTATAAATGCTTTACAGTATTTTTTGATCAGTCAATTTGTAAAATTCTTTCTTCTGATTGGTCCATTAAATGCTTCATAGCTTTGTTTGCTCACAAGACTTTGGTCTGTTACACAACAGAGTCGCAATTCGTAAGCCGTAAGAAATTAACCAGTCATGGTCGATTATTTTTGTTATATTCAACTGATTGCTTACAAATTGCTACTTTATTGTGTGACAGTTTTTTATCACAGCTTAAGCAACTGAGAAATTGTTAGGCACATTCTACAATAAACCATTAGTATCTAATAAATCAGAAAGCACAAACTAGAAATTGGTTATAATCAGTTATAATCAATTATTCTTCTTGCATTCAACTGTGATTGGTTAATTTCAAGCTTTTGACTTCTGTTATTAATGTATAGTTTATTGTAGTTATTACATTATATATTATGATAATCATTATACTATGATTATTATAACTACATAATTGTTGCAATTATGTCATTACTTACTTTATTGTGAATACATCGCTATTGTAACCATTCGCAGCGGATTCACGATTTATCATCAGTAATGTCCCAAACTTTTCGAAGTGCGTTACGATTAGTAACGTTCGATTGCTGTAAAAACGGAAATGAGACGGCGTGATAAACAAAATCCTTTCCTAAAAACTATATTCATAACTTACCTGTAGGATTTTAAAACGATATCAGTATGATGGCCATTTGTTATGATACCACAAGCGCGTTCACTCATATTTCTTTCGCATTTCTCCGAAATTTCGCTAGCTGATATAACCTAATTCAATTTTGTGATGATATCACATGTGATCAACATTCAGCATTTTCCGGAATCCGATATGTGCAAATTACCGCAGGAAGCGCCCTCAAGTGGACAAATTACGTAATTCGTATATATGTATGTAAGTATACTTATTTTTTATAATTTTTAATTTTATATGAGCTGAGAATATTTATTAATTTTTATGTACGTAATACCTGATTCACATCAATTTATTCCTTGCAGCCTGCAGCTGCTATGAGACAGATTTCCCAATTGCCTTCGTAAATTTTTTAGTCTATACATATATAAAATATTCCTCTATGTAAAAAAAAATATATATAAGGTCGATAAAAAACTTTTTAAAATTATTTTTTTATATATTTATAAAGTCTTTTTATTATTAACTAATTAATAGCTGTATAAGAGAAATAAATGAAAACTAACGTTTTACTCTTCGTAATCGCACATCCAAGTTTAGCTCACTCAAAATCATTAAAGCTCATGGCTTAAAAAGACAAGTTATGTACAATTATTATGTCCGAGTTATGTTCAATTATTATACTATATATACAAGGCAGACATATGACTATGGCATGCAAGTGCCATTGAGATTCGCGAGGAAGAGATCTAGGATCTAGAAACAGTCTGACTTCAAGTAGAGATTTTATTGAAATATAAGGAATCTGTACCAGACAGAACTAAAATTACCGTTGAATTTGGTACTACCGGGGTTCACGTATCGTATATGCCTGCGTAGTCACTGCGTTATCGTTTCATGTCTTTTTTCAGCTCCCTTTTCACCTTTTTTTTTTCTCCTTTATCAGTATAAGTAGTCTGAATATATTTATAAGTACAGAAACAATATCGAAGGTACGCGCACAGTCTATCTTGAAGTTCTAAAGCTAAGAAAAGGATTCCTCTCTTTTTTTTTTTTTCTCTATAAATCTATTAGTTGCAATTTTACATTTACAACTAAAGGGGTAGGGGGGGAGAGGGAGTTTCCGCGTCTCTCTTTATCTATGTACAACTGATAATTCAAAAATTTATATAAGCCATCCTTCTCACACGTGCTTTGCTCGCCATGACGTACAAGTTTCGTTCAAACTATGTATGTACAATTTTCTTTTTACAGGAAACGTTTTCTATGTGAATATATACAGTGGTTTACATTACATAACAGTTGAAATGTATACTTCAATCTTCCGCAATGATAATTGTAACAAATGTGCCAATTTAAATCTTACGCGAATGGCCCCCCGTTCAAAAACAAAAGGAACAAACACGCAGATAGATACATCTCTTTTATCCGTTTTCCAAGAGAAATCGTCGGAATTTCCTTTTTTGATAAATTTCTCTAAAACCTCATTGGATCCCAATGATCATTGAGATACGCGATGACGCAGTAAATCGTACTTAACGCAGGAAATAACGTCTTGTCGAACACATTCACAAATAAAACACACCGCACATATAATACATTCTAATTACAGCTACATTAAGGACGAAACCTAAAAATTCTCGTATTAATTACAATAAATAAGCAACGTATATATATTTAAATTTAACACGTATTACGAATGTTAAATACATATTAAATCTTACGCGTTTAATATATATTTAACTTGAGAAACTTTTTTTCTTTAACATAACACTATCCACAGCAGGGACCCTACCATATTGTAATTTTCTGTTCCACCAAGCAACCGACCGCATCGCACTCTAGCGATGCTGTACGTGTTTAATACATACAAGAGCTCCAAAGCAAGAATTGAAGCACTGGTTTAATTTTGCCAATTTTAAATCTCTGTCCCTATAAATACGTAAAAAAAGAAGCACATGTATCAAACATTTTATTCATTCGCAAATAAGCGCAAACATCATTGTCACTTGTACTTGGTCACCTAATAAAACGAAACTATAGTTAATTTACTTAAAACATATAATAGAATGTTCTATTATATCAGCATAAAGAAAGAAAATTATTAGTTTATTGATGAAAGGAAATATATTTCCTTTCATTATTTTTCACACAAATTTCATTTTCGAATTAAATTCAATAATTGCTTGAATGGAATTCTTTATTCTTTCTTACGTGGTTTCTGGTTCCTACATCGCAATTAAGATTTGCTCCGTATAAAAATTACACTCAAAGAGATCTACAATAATAATCAGGGAACGTCATGTGACAATTGGAGTAAAGATCAATCTTCGATAAGGAAAACAATCAAAGAAAATAATAATAATATAAATAAGATAAAAATATAAGACAAGAGAAAACGTGATACTGTATTCTAAAATAGTATGTTATCTCTTCAATTCATATCAAGAGAAAAAAAGTTTAAAATTGTCAAACTGTAAATTTATTTCAACTATTTATCTTTCTGAGATCTTATAGATTTTTGTCTCACGAGTCAGAGAATAAAATCATCATTTATTATTATAAAACCTAAGCCTTGAGTGAATCTTAAGTTCTAATGTAATAGGAGCATTTACCATGGGAAAAAATTGATAACGCACTGTAAACGGAACAATGATAATGAGAAGATTGATCAATGTAAATGATATGATTAAAAGTGCGTCTAATGCATCATGCAGCATCGCTAAAACGAGATAACAGTATGCCGAATAGTGTGTAAACATAATCAGATATTGAATATAATCAGATTTGGATTGTTGTACTAATTTACAACGCGCCTTATCATCTTCTTATTTGGTGATACTTGACGATCGAAATCTACAAATAAAATACATTCACTAAGAGATATGCAATAATCTCGCGGAACTGTCACGATTGACATATGCAAGGATTTTCTACACTAAATAAAAATGATTAGTTATATACGAAGTAAAAATATACACAAAATCGAACGAAGTATTCGACGGCATGGAAATGCATTTGTCATCAAACGGGTGTATCGCGAGTTAGTTGAACTCAAATAAAAAAAAAACGCATCACCACTGATAGTGGTTGAAAATACTGTGCGCAATTGTTTTCCTTCAAATCGAATAACATTTTGTAATCGCTTGAATCATACATTTTCTTACGTACATTCAAAATATAATTCACACATTTTTCTTTCGCGATACTCTATTTTCCAGCATGTAGCAAAATATTCACCGATGAACAGGATACAACATTGTAACACGTTGAAAATCGTTTTTGTCCCTTCAAAATAACTCGGAACGTCTCCCCCCAAATCACTTCCACGAAGCAGTTTCAGTATTCTAAAAATGAATTAGAAAAATATTTTTTTTCCTAGATATATCTCGTGTATATAATATATATCCCGTAGTGTAAAAACGAAAGTTGAAGATTTTTACGTTATAGCATTCTCTTAGCGCGCGTTCTAAGACAAGCAAATAATAAAATCAACTAGAAGATATATTATCCTCTAATGTCTTCCAGATCTTTAGCGTGTAGTTAAAATCTACCAAGCATTTTAAAATATATCATGATAGCAGGTATGATGTATTCTCGGTAATGAACCGACATTGTCTAGTCTTTACAATCAATTTACACAGAATCGTATACAACGATCTGTCTGGGCACAATGATCAATTTTCAGTTTAGAAAAACAAATCGCGGATCATACAGTGAGGTCTGACCTTTGTTTCAACGTCTGTTCGATATTCTTGGGATTCCAATTGGTTCTCCAAGATTGTACAGATCTTTACGTGATACTTTCGCGATTTTTATTGCGATAATATGTGACGTCTTCATATATCACAAGACAAAGGTTTAATTTGCTTGGTATCCTGATTACATCCTCGCTTTAACATCCAACGAATGAAAATAATTTATATTTACACATTGTGATTCAATACAGCTTAGAGCGAATCCGTTCCAGGACTACCAAAGGTGATAGGATTCTTGAAGCTCAAAGGGTTTCCTTAGGATCCCTCTCTCGAAAAAAACCCTTTTCAGTCTTGCATTCCCTGATGGTAACGGTCTTCAGATTAACAGTAACGTCTGTAATAAACACTTGATCCGCCACGGGGTTCCTCGCGTGCCAATAATCCGTGCCGGGATTCGTGAGTGGAACGAAAATCTCTGATTTCGGAATCTCTGTTTGTTTGACGTTTGAACTATTATTGTTGTTATTGTTGTTATTATTGTTATTATTATTATTAGGGCTATGATGTCCATTCACAGTGGGTAACCTATTATTATTAGTGTAAGAGTCCGTGGGGCTGGGTGATTTGTGACCGTTTGCTTTGTCAGTAGCAACTGCGCCATTCGATTTGTCTTGCTTTTGCTCCGATAATTGCTTCTTCTTTGTAGTAACTTGTTCCAAATTAGTATCTATCTGAGCAGACAGCGGTGTTGGTGGTGCACGCGGAAGAGAGGGTGGCGGACCATGAGGTACATCAGCTTCGGGACGCTTTTTGTCCTGTACTGCGGGCGCCGGTGTCGTCGGTACTGCCGGCAGAGGTTCTTCCGGTGTCGATTTTACGCTGGAGGACGACGGCCTTCTTTGATTTTGTCCGTTCGCTTTGTGACTCTGTAATGTAAAGTGTAAGATTCTTGCTTTTATATCAATCAAAAAGATACAACGATATCAAAGTGCCATGATTGATATTTTTAACTATATCCCTTTTAAAAACTTTTGTGTATCCATTAGTAACACTTTTTATCATCTTTTTAGAATCTAAATGGATTGCAATTTATGTATGCATGTAAAGTTTTTATGTATCAATCAGATGTTTAATTTTCTGCTGCAACATTAATTAATTTGAAAGTCATCCGTATTGTAATTTAATTTTAGTGGCGTTCAACGCAATGGTAATAAGTTGCTATATACAATAATTATTGAAACTTACATAAGACGGATTTGTGGGGTTGTTTTTCAAAGGCAATAACCGAGGAACTTTGCTCGGAGGTGGGCTACTACTGCCACTACTAGGACTACTCGTGGTAATAGTTACTCCAATCTTGCCAGATCGACTAAGGACCTCTGCCTTCCTTTTCATACGTTCTTTTCTAGGCAATAAGGGTAAGTCCATACTACTGGCTGAACTGTCGGAATCAACGCTGAACGTTGATGCCAATTCTGGCGACTCATGACTGTCTAAGGAACTTGGGAGAGTATCCTCATCAGGGGCTACTGGATTTAAACGAGATGCTGAAGTGCTGCCCGTCGTCGATTCATCTTGACTGTCTTCGCCTACCCTTTCGTCTCCGCCAGGTTCCTCATCGACAACAAGATTAGACAGTTGTTCCTAAAAATGAAGATTGTCGTAGATTAAATTGTATGCAAAAAACACGTCTCTACAATACAATTTTATGATCGTGTTAACTTTTAAGTTTAAATTACAACTATTTTACACAAAATGAAGAAAGATTTTATGAACAGCTATAATTAGCGAAGAACACCATAAAATTTGCCAAGATACTGAGCTATTAAAGTGATTCAGTGTAATGAGGAAGTGATAAATGATCTCTTGAGTTATCTTGGTACTAAAAACATAATACCATATAAATTATATATAGGTACATATAGTATATAACCTTGTTATATACATATATACTATTTGTTAATTATTTACATATGTTACATATTAATCAATTACATATGTATATTATTTGTAACAACATTTTTAATTAAAATGTTTTTAATTAAAATCATCTAAATATTTCCCCATACTACCTAAAAATAGAATATGTTCTGTATTTATAAAGTATTAATGATAAATAAATCTCTTTTTTTTTTATAAAAAACATACTTGACAATTTCTTCGTATATTAATTTTTATATATTAATTGTAAATTGTTAGACATAACTAATGCTCAATTTAATGTAATGAGTAAAGTGATCTATAAAACACCGTTAGAGATTACGAATGGATAAGAAAACTTTTCTGTTTTAAATAAATTACTGTTGATTTAATTATGATACCTTGCTCCATTTTAATGACTATTAAAGTCATTCATTTGAAACAGACAAGTATTTGTACAAAGAAGAAATATATTCTTACGCTATATCTAGTATCCCTTCGCCTTGGCCTTCTGGTGGGTACATCTGTACCTTTTTGGCTTTCTTCGTACAATTCGATTAATCTGACGTCTAAAATATTTTCTTCCGGCTCCCACGTGTTGTATCTAAAATACGAGAGAAATTATTCCAGTTACGAACGTCAATCTATTTAATAACAATTTTTCGATTTCGTACTCACTTTTTGCTCCATCCTTTCCATTTGACAAGATACTCGACCTTGCCCTAAAAAAAAAAAAAGAAAAAGTATGATCAGTTTTACGATTGTCAATCATGGTTTTCAATCATACAATATAAACACGTGTTTTAATGAACGAGGAATTAAGCTATAGACTCATAAAAATTCACGAATATTGATTCAAAACCGAAATATAAGAGAATGAAGTAAAATTATTGAATCGTTTAATACAATTTCATTGACGGTAAATACGATGAGCATCAATGCGTTGAGCGACACGTGAGACAGCGTGCGCGAGTTGTCATTTCATTATTCTCAATTATCGCGACGCCGCGACGTTACCACGTGGATATCTGTCTATCCACAGGAGAAAATTGTAATGAAATTATATTTCTAAAAACACGATGGAAAACGTAGGTAAAATATTAACACGTGTAAAATATTAATAAGGATAAAATAGCGATGTGGAAAAATAAGAGAATTTCATATGTTCAATTTATGGAAATAAGAAGTTGGGATAATGTTTATATTTGTTTTTCTCTACATGCAGATATCGTAAACATTTTGTTTCGCAATGCGACGATTCAACATCGGCTTCTGTAACATCGTTTTCCTCATGTATTCGCTATTGACGCGTAATTGTCGCATTAATCACTTTCACATTTACTCGTAATTAAGCTCTACCAGTTACGCATCAACGCCAGAATTATACTGCGTGCACGTGTTGCGCGCTGTGCGCATGTCGGACGGATCGTACGCCGATAAGATCTGCCCATCGATAAGAGCCGACTCGCTCGCTTATCAGCCTAAGTAATTATAGCTCATAGCGCAATAATTATTATAATAATGAGAGATGTACGTTACGAATTGTTTCGTAAGATCCCTCACAATGTCAATTGCCAGACAGATCAAATTGGGCGTGAAAGCTCAATTCGCCGCCAGTCAATAAGTTGAAGCCAAGTTGAGATAAACGGGTAGAATGTATTTATTAGATCAATGGATCTAACGATTATGAGATAAAAGTATAAAAAGAGTGAAGCGTTGCATAAGAGCCGATCGTTATATAAGAAAGGAATAGTGTGAAAATTGAATCAATTCAATTTAAGGATTATTGAATTTTTAATAAACCTTTTTTATAAAGTTCAGAATAAATCTTACTTTAAAAAGAGTGAAATCTTATAGACCTTCTACAATAATTAAGCCATAAGTCATAAATCAGAACTAAAAATTGACGACTGTGAATGATCCATTTCTATAGCTTATGACTTATAATTTATGATCTATGGCTTATTGTAGAAGGCTCATTATTTTTAATAAGATTGAAAATTGAGCCAGTTCTTTTGAAAAAGAGTGGCTCAATTATCACACTTTAGTGTTAGTGTGAGAATTTACTTTAAAAAAATATAAATATATAGAGTAAATATAGTCATAAATGCTTAGCATATGAACTTGACATATCGAGGATAACACCGTAAAAGGATGTTTCCTGTTAAAATATTCGCGTGTTAGTAGCTATTGCGGTTATTCGAGAAACTTCAGAAACTGCATTATTTTGCAACAATTAGATAATATAATAGTGGTTTGATACATCAATGTTTGACAAGTAACAATAATAATTGATAACTGACAATAATTGTTTGAATTGTTTCTCAAATAATTAACAGTTATAATACGTATGCAATACGTGAACATTCAGATAGGAATTTCATGTCTTGAATATGCTCTGATTTGCGCGGAAATTTGTGTTAAATCACGAATGTTGATTATTACAAAAAAAGAATAAAAAATTGAGTCAATTGAGTATATTTTGAATATAATTTCAATCTTAATGTTAATTTTGGTTTTATTTATTAACTTTATATAGATTAAGTTCAATCTTTTCTTCTAAAATTATATATAATATTTGAATTCTGAGACTAAGCGATGCGTTTCACTGAATTCCATGAATTAGAAACCTTTCCTTTAACTTAAAATTTTTTCGTTTGAAAATTAAAAAAATACGTTAACATTTTCATGCTTGAATATTAATTAAAAACTTACATTTATAACAATCTTTACAAGAGGCAACAACAACAGCACATTAAACTTTGGGTATGTTAAGTTAGCAACCCCAACTATAGTACTCAAGAGTTGTGATTAGAGTTCCCACTTCCTTTTGACGAGACGAAGAGTTCCCTATAGTTAATAACAAGAGTTCCGCTCAATAAACATTTTTTTTTACATTTTTCAAAAATGGGGTGCTAACTTTTTATCGAATTTCGAGGTGGAATAGTTCTGAGCGGCTTAATAGCTTCAATTTGCGATTGCCTAGAGTTCCTGATATGTAACAAAAATTTTCGAATATTAAAAAAAATTGAAAATTTTTGAAAAATTATTTGAAAAATTAATTTTTAGATACAATAGTTCTGATGATAATTTCTGCTTCTTCTTGACGATACGAAGAGTTCTCTATGATTTTTAATGACATATGCGCTTAATAATCATTTTTTAATAATTTTTTTTAAATGGGGTGCTAACTTTTTAACGAAATTCGAAGACGCATAGTTCTGATCAGCTTAACAGAACTATTTTGTGAATACCTAGAGTTCTTGATACATAAAAAACATTTTTGAAGAATAATAAAGTTTAAAAAAAATAGTAGAAATCTTTGAAAATTTTTTTGAGAGTACCGAGTAGTTCTGAGTTGCGTTTCTTATAGTACTCGACGAGTTCTATCGAAAACTGTAAGGTGAAAAAGCGATTGGACCAACGGTTTGCAAGATACAGCGACATTTGTCAGAAGATCAACAATTTTTAGAGTATATCTCGGAAACCATTGGTCCAATCGCTTTGAGCCCTGATACTTTTCGACAGAACTCGCCGAGAACTGTCCAGAACTCCGATCAGAACTACTCGGTACTCCCAAAAAATTTTGACTTCAAATTTTTTTCCAAGTCCCACGTCGGAAAATTTTTTGAGAGTACCGAGTAGTTCTGAGTAGCGTTTCTTATAGTTCTCGACGAGTTCTATCGAAAACTGTAAGGTGAAAAAGCGATTGGACCAACGGTTTGTAAGATACAGCGACATTTGTTACATTTGTAAGATCATACAATTTTTAAATAAGTATATCTCAGAAACCGTTGGTCCAATCGCTTTGAGCCCTGATACTTTTCGACAGAACTCGTCGAGAACTGTCCAGAACTCCGAACAGAACTACTCGGTACTCCCAAAAAATTTTTGATCAAAAATTTTTTTCCAAGTCCCACGTCGGAAAATTTTTTGGGAGTACCGAGTAGTTCTGTTCGGAGTTCTGGACAGTTCTCGGCGAGTTCTGTCGAAAAGTATCAGGGCTCAAAGCGATTGGACCAACGGTTTCCGAGATATACTCACTTTAAAAATTGTTGATCTTCTGACAAATGTCGCTGTATCTTGCAAACCGTTGGTCTAATCGCTTTTTCACCTTACAGTTTTCGATAGAACTCGTCGAGAACTATAAGAAACGCTACTCAGAACTACTCGGTACTCTCAAAAAATTTTTCGACGTGGGACTTGGAAAAAAATTTGAAGTCAAAATTTTTTGGGAGTACCGAGTAGTTCTGATCGGAGTTCTGGACAGTTCTCGGCGAGTTCTGTCGAAAAGTATCAGGGCTCAAAGCGATTGAACCAATGGTTTCCGAGATATACTCTAAAATTGTTGATCTTCCGACAAATGTCGCTGTATCTTGCAAACCGTTGGTCCAATCGCTTTTTCACCTTACAGTTTTCGATAGAACTCGTCGAGTACTATAAGAAACGCTACTCAGAACTAATCGGTACTCTAAAAAAAATTTTCAAAGATTTCCACTATTTTTTTTAAACTTTATTATATTTCAAAAATGTTTTTTATGTATCAAGAACTCTAGGTATTCACAAAATAGTTCTGTTAAGCTGATCAGAACTATGCGACCTTGAATTTCGTTAAAAAGTTGCACCCCATTTTTTAAAAATTATTAAAAAATTATTATTAAGCGCATATGTCATTAAAAATCATAGAGAACTCTTCGTATCGTTAAAAAGAAGCAGAAATTATCATCAGAACTGTTGTATCTAAAAATTAATTTTTCAAAAATTTTTAATTTTTTTTACATATCAGGAACTCTAGACAATCGCAAATTGAAGCTATTAAGCCGCTCAGAACTATTCCACCTCGAAATTCGATAAAAAGTTAGCACCCCAATTTAAAAAATGTAAAAAAAATGTTTATTGAGCGGAACTCTTGTTATTAACTATAGGGAACTCTTCGTCTCGTCAAAAGGAAGTGGGAACTCTAATCAGAACTGCTGAGTACTATAGTTGGGGTGCTAACTTAACATACCCTTAAACTTTAAGCTTGCGCCAAGTTGCGTTAAATGTGAGTCAATCTCTCTACCTTATCTCTACGTACATTTTTTATTTTAATCATTTTGTTATAACAAATTACTATCATTATTTAAAATAACGTGTCGCATATTAATAAAAACTTTGTTTTTAAATAATAATACGTCACTTAGATTAACTATCTTAAGCTGAAGAATATTAATAAAAAATGTTGAATCGTCCGAAAATTTACTTGGCTTCTCTTGAGAATGGGATCTTTTTCTTTTTCAATTGTAATATTTGTTCCATTTAAATAAAATTTTAGAAAAAATACCTATATTACAAAAGAGATATTCTGCGTTAATTCTTCTATTATTTCTTTTGCAAATAAATAAATGCAACTTTATACATATATTTTAAAAAATTAAATTTTCGTACAGTTCTAAATTCACCCTTAAGAGTTCTGGAGTTCCTGTTCAAAATGAAAAATAGTTTCGGTAAATTAACGAAAAATTTATGGTGCCAATTTTACAAAATGCAAAACACCTCCAAAATATCTCCGCGATATCTTCCAAACTATTAGTCTTATAGCATTTTAAATACTAGAACGAATAATAAATAGAACTTTTAATAAATAGAATTATTGGGATGCTATTCAGAACTGTCGACAGAACTGTCAGAACGTTCAAAAATGTTTTAATCCTCAGGTGTTAAATGCTCCGACTTTCAAAAA